TTGAGGCTGGAGAAAAATTTGCCATAACGTTGAAAACTAGCCGTCGCCAGCTTTATGGGGTTTCATTTCATCTTGAGGATCAATGGCAAATATTTTACCGTGCCTTTGTCTCTCTTTGAAATCAAGCTAGGAATTGGTCAAATAAAAAGGCTCTCTTCTCAGTTGACAGCTTTATTTCTGCAGCGGTAAAAAAGCCATTCTGCGATGGCTATAAATATGAGACAAGACACTGGGGATTTCTGTAAAATAAATTCCCACCTCCTTGCGGTCCCCATTCGGGATGGAGCTATCTTTGTACGTCCACGGAGTACTCAAATGAGGCGGGTTTTTCACTGCGTGGCTCTTGTTAGATGGAAAAATTAAAGCGGTGCAGAGACGGGCTCGATTTTAGAGGCAGTAAAAGATGGTGCCGCTATGCCAAGCAGCTGCTGACTGCCTGCAGCAAAGGGAATTCCTCTTTGCATCGCTCGTCAGTGGACTATGGGGGACGCCTTGCTTTCAAAGAAAAATGGGTGACCGTGCAGCGTCTCGGTGCTTTCAGAAAGGGTTGTGATGCACCTTGCATTTGTGGGGAAAACGTCGGGATGTGGCACAATGTGACGGGGACCTTCGTGCCGGCTGATGGGAACCGCAGCCCGCAGCCCTTTCCCCCTCCACCGCGGTTGAGGCATTTATTTTGCTCTCATAGAAACTCTGCAGCATTGCTGTGGGTAGGTGACCTTGACCCCTTGGGTGGGCTGTTCCTTGCAGCTGCAAGAGCTGCAGGAACAAAACTCTTTCCTCAACTCTGGAAGTTAAATTCATTGCATCTAGATATATATATAGATATCTATATATATATTTTTTTCCCGAATACTTCAGCCCCGGTACTCTGGCCCTTGCAGACTGGCAGGAGTCATCGCCTGCCAATCTCTGGCACCATTTTGATCAGCGTGACGAAATATTAAAGCCGCTTTGTCTCCGTACAGACCTCTCCAGCCCGATACCCGAATGCAGTTGCCAGCGTTCGTTTTTCAGCTTTGTCCAATTCCTCCTCCAGCAACGCGGGCTGTGGGTTTTGCTTTAGAAAAATGCAGCAGATTTCTTTAAAGCGAGTGCGGGTCTAGCGCTGTCAGACGCTTCAGACGAGCTGCCTAACGTCTCTCCACCAAGAAGTCCTGAAGCTAATGGGTAGTGACAGCTACATTTTCAAAGCCCTGCAAAGCTTGAACAGTATACTGGGAGCCGATGGCATCTGCAGGTGAGCTGCTTATTAGCAGGCACGCTTTGCTAGGCCACATATTTCCCTACCGATAACCTTAAAGCCTTGCCTGTGTCTTCAGTTATCCCCCCGATCGCCTATTTTATGTGGACGCGGCGGGGGGAATTAGTGACGGCGTGGCCTAGGAAAGCTCAGGCCCCTTTGTCTTGCGACTTTAGCCTCGAGGGTTTGTGGAACCGGCAAGTTCCGTTTTTGTGAATTGATTTTCTATTTTTTGATGCTAATCTGAGGGCTTCTAGGCAGCAGCCGGCCGACACCAACGCGTCCCACGGCTAAAATATTCTTTGCAAGCGTGCAGGGCGGGTGTTTCATTGCAAGGCTCAGGCTAGCGCTCGGCACTTTGCAAAGGTGCTTGACGTCTTGATGGAGAACGTCCAAATTTCCTCTCTGGGGCTCGTCGGATCGGCGTGAAACAACCCAGCCGCTTCATCCTCTCCATTCCTGGAGCCTGCGAGCGCTCCGGCTGCTGTGCTTTAGAAAGAAGTAGCACTCGTCGAGCCCGCCCAGCTCGGGGCTTTTCTTGCTATCCAGGCTTATGGGTGGATGCATATCTATCACGTGTTAGATCAGTCGATCACAGGAGATTATCAGCCATCAGTGACCCAGTGGCACCACAGCTCTGGTTTGCACCGCCGGAGATATTTGCTTGCATATCTTTCATGTTCGGAGGGACCCGGGACAAGACGACGTCATTAAAATACCAGCTTCTCACTGCTGCTAAACAGCTGTACGCGAACCGTGCGGCTTGCTGCTTCTTCGATTGAAAAGGAAGCAAACGATCCTACTGAAATGCTGGAAAACGAATGCAACTAATCCAGTTAGCGTAGCACTCGTGACCAGCGTCGTACCGGTTTGGTCGTCGGGAGCGAGGGGCGGCCTCGATTGCTGCCTTGTGTCTCTCCTGGATGTCAGGGAGAAGAGGCAGGAGATGCGGTGGTGAATGTCTGAGCGCATCGGGGCCTTGACTCGCAAAGCCACTGAGGTGCATAATGATAGTCTTAATGTCTACGTGGAGACGAGACGCCCAATGACGGGCTCGTGAATCTAGCACCGCGTCCGAATCCGGTGTCTGGAAGCTGCATCTTAGTAAATCCAGACTAGGGAAAAGGTGGCAATTGTGATCAGGGACGGTAACGAGTCCGAGGGAAATGTTACCCTGGGTGACGGTGGAGTCTCCATCCCGGGACGTGGGTGCTCGTGCGAAGAGGGGCTGTCTTAGCCGCTCACACAGCAATTCGGGGTTTGATGCCTGGATCACTGGGGAAGGCTCTCCCTGGCCGGAGGTCAGGATGGGCGATCCTAGCGATCCCTCCTGATCTTTAAAATTGATTATTCAATCAATATCCCATTCTTTATTGATTGATTACAATTGATTGAAGTGCATGCTTCATAGCTGTCCAACCAGGAGCAAGCTGAAGCCCAGGCTTAACTCGGAGCCAGGGCTAAATGCTGTGTTGACTCTCGGCATTGACGGCTGGGACGTGAAGGGAGCGGGGTGCTGGGGAAAGACGCGGCCAGGAGATGAGCAAGCAGCCTGCCCGCTGCTGTAGCCAGCATTTCAAGTCAAGTCCAACATTATTCACTGAACTTTTAAGTGACTTAGGGATAATCGCATCTCACTTGGTTGCTGTAAGAGGGTTATAAAACATGCCGAAGGAGCTGGGCACTGGAGGTCTGGCTGATATTAGCACTGTCTTTTCCGCAACCTTGTTGTCAGTGCTTACAAGAAGCTGAGGCCTTCTGACAGCTTACATGTATTTGTCTTGAATATTTAATTTTTGAAGTCAGCCATTTATTAAAAATGTAAATCTGTTTTCTCAGCAAATGAAAGTTAAATACCACGGAAGAGGTCCCAGCATCTGCAGCATATGTTCTCCTTAGAGGAGCGTGCGGGGAGGAGGGGAGCGTGCTGCCTTTGCGTGGCGGTCGGGGTAACGCGGGGGGATAACGTGGCGGGTGGGAGAGCGCGGGAACCGCTCGAGTACGGCGTTGTGTCCGTTCACACGGGATGGGACGCGCGTGCGGCCGCGTCGTGTGCTAGCAGGGCGGCGGTAATCCGGATGCGTTTCCACTCAAGCCCAGCAGCCCCCTATTATTAATTGTCCCCAAATGCTCATTTCTCCCACCCAAAATGAGGGGTGCTCTTGTTCGGCTTCTGTTGCATGCACTGGGGACCGGCAGTTCCTCCTGCTCTGCTCCCCTCCCCTCCACCTGACCGCTGTCTGGAGCGGGCTTGCTCGCTGGAGCCAGTGGAGCATTGCAGCTGGCAACCAGAGCAACATCTGGTTTGAGGACAGCTGTGCTCGCCCCTGGCAGGGGGACCCCCTGGGCTGAGACCCCGGAGCGGGGCATGTCTGCACGGGGCAGGAAGTTGGGAACTTTGGGTTCCTTCCTCATCTGCGTGGCCTGGGGATAGGTCTCTTCTCTGCTTTAACTTGCTTTTCCTGATTGTAAAAGGGGGCTTAGCCTTAATTCCCTGCCTCGAGCCCCGTAGAGAGTGGGAGGGAGCTTGGCTGTGACTGCAGGCAGAGCGTTTAGGAAGCGGGCACTAGGGAGACCTTAATAAATGCAAACATTTCTCTGCAGAAAGGGGAAGCGGCGCTCAGCGTGTGCGTGCGTGGTGCTCAGGATCCCAACAGGGTTGCACAGCAAGGGCTCGACGCGTTTGATTTTTTTAAAATCCCATTTCCTCTCCTCTCCCCCTCAATATACACACCCCTGCTTGCAAGGCCCCTGGGGTGTTTCCGCACCCAGGCCCTTGACATCACAGCACATGCAGAGTGCAAACCTCTCGGTGGGCGGCTTGGACCGTAAAGAATAACTCGACCCCACCCTTGCAGGGATATTATCCCCGGTTTGCAGATGGGAAAACTGAGCCATTTGCCTGAGGCTAGGCAGTGATGACTTGAGGGTTTCTGACTCCTAGACCAGTGCCGCGCCCACCGGCCCACGTCTGTGGGGTGCTTGACCGGGTGCTGCTGATGCTGCGATGAGGCTGCTGCGGAAAGGGGTTGCCTATCCACTCCGGAGGGAAGGAGCGATGCAAACGCGTGCGAGATAGCCGGGCTTTTTGCACTGGGAGTGCCGTGACAGCAGTGACCTCCGTCTCTGGAGGCCTCAACCCAGCGGCTAGCTTTGCAGGAGGGAAATGCAGCCCACGCCGCCCCTGGCACGTGTGGTGTGCTGGGGGGCCGTGTTAAATTTCTCCTGTGGTGCAGGGGGTGTCTCGGCACTTGGGGTTCGGGCAGGTGCGAGCTTTCCACCGTTTCGCTGCGTACCGTCGGGACTAGCCGGGCGCAGCCACCTCGTTTGGCTCCCGGGTGGCAGAGCAGGCGGGGGGTAAACCCGCGGGCGCGCTGTGGACGGGGACACTGCCTCATGCTTAGCAGCACCATCTGCGGCAGGTGCGGTAGTGCATGCACCCAGGAACCGCTCGGCAAGTAATTGCACTGCCATCTCATTCCTCCCCAACAATTACTTGCCACGCTGCAGCCTGATCGCTTATCAGTCTCCAGCTCCTCCATGCAAAACAGCCTCGCGGTTAACGAACTCCATAATTGTTTTGCATCTCCTTTCCGTTTTCTTTTTTCCTCCTGTCCTGCCCTCCCCTCCTCTCTTCCGCACCGAGCTGCCCGGCTCTGCCAGGCGTGCTGGGAGGGACCGGCTGCAAACCGCATCCCGTTGGCTTTGTTTTCTCCACTCTCCACCCACCACGAGTTCTTTTCTTCCCCTCTCATAGTGCGGACGCAATGCTGAAAACTTCGACCGGTTTTTCACTCGCCATCCACCCGTCCTCACACCACCCGACCAAGAAGTCATCAGGAACATTGACCAATCAGAATTCGAAGGATTTTCCTTTGTTAACTCTGAGTTTTTAAAAGCTGAAGTCAAGAGCTAAGTAGCTGTGTAGACCTCATTGCTGCATCTCTCATCCGGTCCCAACGGCTGTTGTGGTGACATTCTCCATGGCAATAGTTGCATCCATGGTTTTTCTTTAGTACTGACACTAGAGTGACCATATTTCAAAGCCAGAGGTGTCTGCGCTCTCTTCCTGCCAGAGGTGCTGGGAGACGTACCGCAATCACGGTTTTAATCAAATTTTACTTGTCGCTAACGGGATGGGTTTATTGGCTCAAGCGCTCCGAACACGGACCGGGAGAAATCTCGAAGCCTTTGCCTCGGTTTCTGTTCTGTCTTTCTTTTTATCCTCTAATGCTCACGGAAATAGCGTCGGCAGCTATTTCGGTCCCTTTCCGGCCAGCCAGCGATTTCACGAAACCTTTCCCCGGGACCCCCGTGCGCAGCGGTGACTTTTATAGGCTTCTAATTAATCCTGCAGATCCCCCAAGGAGGGAAATAGTTTGTCGGGAGATTAGATACGGGGCTGCTCGCTCGCCACCTCGGGGCTTTACACCTGCTGCAAAACCTCCTGCTTCGTTCAGGCCTGAACTTACTGTTTTCCGCTCGGCCCCGGCCCTCCCCACCGGGTCTCTAATAGCATGATGAATTGCTGGAGAAACCAGGGTCGCCGCTTCCAGAGATTTCTCCCGATTGTGCCGTTTCCGGAGCATTGTTTAAAAAACAAATCAAAACACAACGGATCCTATTAGAAGAGGGGTGTTTGAAAGGACCCTTGAAAAACGCTTTCAAATCCATGGTCACCCTAGTAATACCAGACATGACATTGTTTCTACATTATTTCATATCAAAAACTCTTTTTTTTCCTTTGGGGGTTTGGTTTTTTTTCCAATGCCAAAGTAATTAATTCAGTTTGTTACATGCGCTTTAAATGTGTCAAAAAAACGGTATTAACAAACCTGAGCTGATATTTAACATTGAACAGTATTGTGAAATCTGATATGAAGCCTGTAAAGAATTTTGTTTGAAGAAATATTCCTACTTAAACACAAAATGCCGCTTGATATTTAAATTGCCTAAGTTTGTTTCTGGCATCAAAAAGAAAGAAAGCTTCAGGAAAAACGAGGTTCTCTTGGAAGAACGAATCCTCTCCCTTTCTTTCGTACTCTCTGCCAGATGTCTGTGGGCTGTCACTGTATCAATCAGCTGCGAGTTGTAATGTGCCAATTTTTTTTTCCAATACTGATTATAAAATAAAAAATAAGTCACAAGATTGTCACAGAAACCTGCATCTGTTTGTAAGGGAGGGATCCCGGCGCAGTGCTGGGCTCGAGACGCCCGGAGCCGGGAGCGTTGGGGTCTCCCTCGGGCCGGATGGGGAGCTGCGGCCGTCGCAATATGCCAGCGACTTTTCTGGCTATTGGCCGCCCCTCCGCATCCCGGAGGCTCGAGTCCCGGCGGCAGTAGCCCACATCTCAGCGTGACCTCCTCTTCCCCCCCTTCGGCTCTGGGGCCGATCTGCTTGTGCCTGGATTGTCCCTGGAGACTCCCGCAGCCTCGATCCGCTGCATCCTTCCCTTTGCACCCCTAACACGCTCTGCTCGTGTATGCAAAAACCCCCAAACCTCCCCCAAAATGTATCACGGACGGGGAAACTGTGCCATCCTTGCCACCATCGGTGCTTGCGTGGCCCTTGAAATGTCTTCAGTGGGAGCCACGGGATGAAAGTCTCCAAACCCTCCCGTGCAAGTCTCCTCTGATGTTCGGGGCCAGAGTCTGCGGGGCGGAGAGGCGTCGGAAGACGCAGCCCATCCCGCGCACTTCCCGGAGGGGAGGGCAAGGACCTGGCCCCCTGGGAGGGTGCGCGGGAGCCTGCCTTGGGGGTGCTGGGTCCATCTCCCGAGCGCAAGGACTCCCAGCTTCTCCCACGCCCCGCTCCAGGACTCCCAGCTTCAATTCCTCTTTGCTCCCTTTCACTCCACGATCTGTGTTAGGCTCCCTAGGCTCGGCCCTGCCTCCTCCGCGGCCCGTTTATCCTCTTTGGTAGAGGCCGGGCTAGACACCACCTCTGCCCCGCTTTGCAAGCAGCCCGAGGGTTTCTCTTTGCTGCTCCGGGGCCTTCTTCTTGTTTCTTCTCTTGTGGGGGCTTTGATAAGGCCATCGAATCTGGTGTCCGCAAGCCCCTTTCATCGACGCGTCGGCGTCCCCCGTAAAAGCCGTCATGTTCCTCACCCCCCGGGTCCCCTTAGAGGCACTTTGCAGATTCCCGCGGGAGCACTTCCTCCTGGGCGTCTGCTCCGGGGCACTGGTGCTCCCTGCTATGAAGCGGCCCCTGTTTCTTAGTCCCCCCAGGGATGGTTGATGGCCGGCATTGCCCCGGGATTGTGCTGCAGCCTGCACGCCCCGTTTCCCTGGACTGAAGTTGCCTTGACTGCTTGGATAGGACAACGTGCTCCCAGGCTTCCTGCAGTTCTGCCTTCGCATGGCTTTCTTTGGAGCCTGCCGATACATTTGGCACTCCCCGTCCTTCCCTGCTGTCGAGCTCTGGTTCCCCCAGTTTGCTCTTGGCATCGCCCTCGCTCCCTGGATAGCAGGATGCACGGATGGGCTGTGCACATGCACCTTCAAGGGCAGGCTGCACGGATGGGCTGTGCATCCGCGCCATCAAGGGCAGGATGCACGGATGGGCTGTGCACCTGCACCTTCAAGGGCAGGATGCACGGATGGGCTGTGCACCTGCACCTTCAAGGGCAGGATGCACGGATAGGCTGTGCATCCGCGCCATCAAGGGCAGGATGCACGGATGGGCTGTGCATCCGCGCCATCAAGGGCAGGATGCACGGATGGGCTGTGCATCTGCACCTTCAAGGGCAGGATGCACGGATGGGCTGTGCATCTGCACCTTCAAGGGCAGGATGCACGGATGGGCTGTGCATCTGCACCTTCAAGGGCAGGATGCACGGATGGGCTGTGCATCCGCACCTTCAAGGGCAGGATGCACGGATGGGCTGTGCATCTGCACCTTCAAGGGCAGGATGCACGGATGGGCTGTGCACATGCACCTTCAAGGGCAGGGTGCACGGATGGGCTGTGCATCCACACCTTCAAGGGCAGGGGAAGCTGGACCCTTGCTGGGAGAGACGGCGGGTAGGAAGCTGATGGGATGGATGGAGCCTCCTCCCAGTCCAGACCCATTTTAGCTGCAGGCGCATGCCATCACGGGAAGGAGTAAGCTCCAAATGAATGCCCAGCTTCAATGGGCCTGTGAAGACCTGCCGCAGAGGGGCGCAGAGTGGAGCCCGCTGCAGGGAAAGTCTGGCTGGAGCATGCACTTGCCCTTCCCTCCGGACGTGGCAGCATCTCTTGTGAGCAGGAAAGGCGTGTTTTTCCAGGATGCCCCCCAGCACGTTCGCTGGGGCCTGTCTCGCACACGCACGTGCTTGCTCTTTGTCACGCTTCCCGGCGTGGTCCCTCCAAGGGAGACGACTCAGTTGCAAGCAGCTGGGGAGTGTCACTGCGATGTGCCGCTCCTGTTTGAAAATGGGAGCAAAATGACTCTCGCGACAGGTAGCAAAGGGCACGTTGGGGAGCGCGGAGGAGAGGCCCGGGGAGAAGTCCGGGCTCACGGGGACAGCTGCTCTGCGGCCCCCAAACGCTGCGTGAGCCCAGCAGGACTGAGGCAGCCCCTTGAAGGAGCACCCTAGGACAGAGGCCACGTGTAGCCTTGCTGCCACTTCATCAGTAAAGAGAAGCCGGAGGTGAATTACGGCGCCGGGCTGGGAGAGGAGCCTTGAGGGTAAGTGCACAGCCGTGCTCTGCACACAGACAAGTACATGCATTTTCATTCAAGCCACCGTGTAGCTGTCAGGGCACAAGGTATTCAATCACCGAGTGACGGGCCTCTTCCCTACGTGCCTCTGCTTCCCGAGCAGGGGAATTGCAGCCCACAAGGACTGTGCAAAGCCTTTGGCACTCGCTGACAAGATAATAAACCAGCGGTGGGGCGTAAAAACGCAAGTCTGCCCTTGGCTGCAGAGCGCTCGCTCAGGCTGGGGGGAGACGGCCTCAAATGCAACACGGGAAGACCGCTTCTCCAGTTCGAGGGGGCACGACGTGACCGACGCGGTTGTGTCTTCCAAGACGAGCCACGCGACGTGTGCGTCGCCCCGGCAGTGTGGCTCTGCTGCCAAGAGTCGGGGCACGTGCCATTTGAAAATGTCCAAAGCACCGCTGCTCGTAACGCTACGTGCTTCATTGCAGGGCCGAACAGAGCAATGAGTTGTGGGGGAGAAGCACGCATCTCCCTAAATCTGTTGGGTCCCCATCGCTGGTAGGCGTAGCTCGTGCTCCTGATACCTCAGGCCTTTTGTAGCCGGTATCGCAAGCACCCACCAAGTCTTCCCCCCTTCCCTTCCAGCTGGGTGGGCTTTGCACTGGGGCTTGGGGTCTGCAAGATCCCAGCTGCTGCCTGGCGGGGAAGGAGTGAGCGTGGTTCAAAACACGCGGGCACGTGTGAAAGGCTATAAAACCCTGGAAGAGATCCTCTTGCATTGTCTAACTCTACCCCAGCTGGGAAGTTTGGTCCCGTACAAGGGATCCTGGTCTCCCTGAAAGCTGGACATCGTGGCCCTAAACTTGAACTTGAGCCTGACGGCGGTCACCCCCTGTGACTACTCCAACGTGCAACACGGGCACTGTGGGAGAGACTTCTTCCCCGCTCTCTCCAGCTAACAAACAGCCCTGCCTGGATCGTTTCGGTCGTCCCATAAACTACTGGGACCTTTTTCTAGCAATGGGACCTGTGCTGCGACTTGCATGGGGATTTCTGTTCTCTTGCTGGCCGCCCTCGGTGGTTCCCATCTGCGTGTTTTCTTTACTGATGAAGTATTTCTGGTGCTTAGACTATGTCTTCGCTGCTGCTGGGCTTGCGTCCCAGCCCAACGCCTTGGCCGTGGTAGAGCCAGCCCGTACCTCGGATGACGCAGGCAATATCCTCGGTGTGCACGAGTACAAAAACGTCACCGCTGCCCTCCCAAGCGCGGTGGGTCTTCAGTCCTAGCCGCAGCACGTCAGCCTACCTGCTTTGCTGCAGCTGTGAAGCCTGAATTTTTGTGATCATCAGAATCGGAAAAGGTTGCAGCTGCGTAATTCTTGCATTTATTTTTTTTAACTTCAGGTTTTTTGGCCCAGTGTGTATTTTCTATATGACCCTGGAGAAAATCACATACTCCTCTTGAATGAAATAGCTGGAACGGTGTGGAAACCGCGCGATCCCAGAGCTCAACTAAAATGTCAAACGCTTAAAAATACAAAAAAAAAAAGGGAAGAAAAGGCATTCACATGCTACTCCTAAACTTTTGTTGGCTGGTTATTTTGTGGATATCAGGAAATTGTACTAAATGCTTATTTCCAGGACCGGGGCATGTTGCTTTCTCCAGGACTTTTAATTTCCCCTGTGCATTACCAATCTGTGTTTCCAGTGGAAGTTTTGCATGCTGAGACGCTGTTCTTTCTAAAGCTGCCGGATAAGCGGGGAGAAGCACTTCTTTTGTGAGCTCCGTGTCCTTTCTGTAACGTGCTGTGCTCTCATCATGTCTCAATTTGCCTCTTTTGTTGGGTATTTAAAGTGAGCTGGATAAATGCGTTTCTGTTTTTGCACACTGTACCTGATTGCATTTATTGTATCACGGCGGCTGCTGAGTGTTTGAATGTCGCGTACCTAATCTAATGTGTATTTCTTGAAAGAAAAAAACCCCTGCGAGCGTTTCAGATCAGCTATCCCATGAGCAAATGTGAAAGAGCGGCAGCAAGCGTCCCTCCCAACACCCGAGGTTGCTCACGTCTGCCGGGTTGAATGACTTTCCTGCTTTCTCTCCTTGATGATTGTGTTTAATTCTGTGCTTTCCGTTTAACAGAAGGACAAGCGAGACGCTTCCAACTTCGACAAAGAGTTCACCAGGCAGCCTGTCGAACTCACTCCTACGGACAAACTCTTCATCATGAACTTGGACCAGAACGAGTTTGCTGGATTCTCCTATACTAACCCAGAGTTTGTCATTAATGTCTAGCCGCCCTGGCTCTGCAGCCCCAGCCGGCCGATCACCTTGTACATACGACACCAGTCTTCCGGGGTTAACGGTGCATCCATGCATATCCTCATCCGAAACACGGAGATAGCTTGTTTTAGGAGGCCTTTCTATGTACGTGTCACTTGCTAGCTTGGTTTCTACATCTGGAAATGTTTCGTTTTTGAGTGAACAAGCAGTAATACCTGTAGAAGCTGCGATCCATAGTTACTGATTTTTAAACCGGTCAGAATATTGTCTCGAATACCAAATTGCTACAGTCTTTGTAATTTTTGAAATGGGATGCTGAAATGCTGGTCAACTTCTCGTTATTCACCATTTGTTTCCTTTGAATGCTAAGCATGGTTGGTATTTTAAACCGTTGTGCTGAAGCTTGCCATGACTGTGAACTTGTCCTAGAAGAGCCTTTTGTGCAAGACTTGAAATGGTTAACCCTGGTCAATGTGGAGAAATCTGCTTATAGACATGTTTATATTTTTAACTGCATTGTATATCCAGTAAAGCTGGCTCGATGAAGCGGTCTTCCTCTGTCGCCTGCTGTCGACGTGTGCATTTCCATCCATTTTTCTTTCCTAGATTAATTACTCAGGCATGAGACGACACAATGAATTTCATTCCAGTCCTTGTAAATCAGAGCAAGGCTTTTTGCTTTTTTTTTCCCCTAAGTAAAAAGGTGAGATTTTTTATTTTATTTTAAAAACATCTGGAACAGTTTGCAGTTTTGATATACTGTGTCAGCACGCTCATAAATCTTTCTCCTGTTTTGTCACAGACACTGCTGCAAGTTAGCAGCTCTGTAAAGCATATTAATTATCTGCCAAAACACACACATTCGTAGTCTCAGTCTAGTTAGCGACTGAAAAGATGCCCGCTAGGAGCGGGCAGCACCGAGGGCTATTTCTAACGGTAACTTTTGTACTATCCCCGCTCCGCTATATGATCTAGACGATCGGTATAAGTGATTCTCCACGTGCCTGGCTTGCTTCGTTTTGCTGTAGGTCCTGTTTCCGGGGATTTTATCTAGCAATCGAGGACCATTTGAAAAAAGAGCGACGCCAAGTGAGATGTTTAATAAAGTCTCGATCCGCGCATAGCCGTATGGAAGAGACCAGCCAGGCGAGGGGCACGGGCTGTCTTTCAGCTGGCTAAACATCCTTACTTGTTCCCGGTCTTATTTAGACACAACACAAGTGTGACGAGCGTGTCGTACACTTGGAGTCGCTGGTTGCTATTGCTCTCTCTGGGTATGAGCGGGGCTGGTTTCCAAGGGTTTGGGGGGGGGTTTTAAATGCTACCCATTTGAATGTAAATACACGTTAAACCTTGATTACGGGAGTATAGAGGAAATACCAGCTTGCAGGGCTTTTATGAAACATCAGACTCTACCTTTGGGGATCTATTTTTAATGATTTATTAATAGGGGGGGAAAAAGCTTTAGGAGCAAATGTCTTTAGCTCATCGGTAGGCCTAATGCCACGAAGAGTGTGCAGACAGCCGCAGATACTCTGCTCCATTTAAACGGGCCCCCGAACTTCATGGAGGGCGTCCCAGCGGGGTTTGCAGCAGAGGGGATGGCCGGTCTCCTCGGGCCCTCGGTGACCCGCGCTGAGGAAGCAAAGAAAATGAAACGCCAACAAAAATGTAAAAAACAGGCCAACCCCAAAACTGCAAATTGTGCCAGATGGATCGGGAGGTCCACGGGGGATTTTGCATCAGGCCAAGGCCAGAGACATGGTTTCCCCTAACTCCAACACATTTTGCAGAAGACGCCCCAGCCTCTTCCGCAGCTTTCCAAGCATGCGACTTGCTGTACCGACTGTCACTTCCAAATGTACCGCTGCAGAGTTTGTGCTGCTCCAGTCGTGGATGGCTTTAATTTGTCTCTCTCGTTTCTTAAAACCTGCCTCTGTTGCCTCAGTCTGCCCAATAATGGGACATCGCGATTGCCCTTGTATCAAGGCAGCCACCCTGGTAACTCGGCCGCGAGTGACTTTGTGCACGGAGGCTGGCAGACGGAGTTGGGTCTCTTCCCTGTAGACATTTCCAGGTCTGAGCGATGCTTCTGCATGAAGCAGGATTTGCTTAAATGCTGAGCAGCTCAGGCAGCTTCTACCCAAAGATTACCCCCGTCCCCCAACCCTGCCACAGCCCGAGCGCTGGATTTGCTCGTGAGGATAGACGGGTCCGGCTCAGGTTTGTACAATGAAACGTGCACATACATTTTTGCAGACATCCCGTCCTAGAAACGCTTGACAGAGCCCCGATCCAGGGGCCCTTTCATGAACCAGTTTGCTCACCTGCTTCCCTTCCTGCAGGATTTAGGACCTGGAGCGTGTACCGTCGTGACCCCGGTCGTACTACCGCTGCCAAGGGGTTTATTGCAGGGTGTTTTTGAGATTGCTTTTGGTGAACAAGAGTGCCGGGGAAAAGCCTGCTGCTTTGCTAATGCTGATATGCAAGGACTCTGCCAAGGAAGAAGAAGGTGACAGCGGTTGACTCTGCTTCTCTGTTGATTTGTGGTAGACAGGGAAAAAACAGCTATTTTAGACAGTCTCGGGAGGCCTCAGGCAGGGCTTTTTACCGGTGCTTTCTGGTATGTGATGGACACCTGGTAACCTGGATGCTGCACGGTGCAGAGTTGCTACTCCCTGGGCATGGATGCATGCAGTTTGGAGGGACATGTGGATTATAAAGGTCTGTGAAACAGGAGGGCAGGGTGCTCCTGGGCAAAAAGGGGAAGGCATTTCAGCCTGGAGGTAGGACAGAGCAAAGTCTGTGTTGGCTAGCAGGCTGCGTGGTCCCGGCACAGCGGTGTAGCCAGGGCTGCCTCTGGAGCGTGGGACCCAGGGTGCGGAGTAGTGTAGCACAGGCCAGGTGACAGGAGGAGTCGCACGGGCATAGGGAGGGCTCGGTTCCAGCCCTGCACCAGGCTCAAGTCCACGGACGTTAGTGTTTCAGCTCTGGGAAGCCAGTCCCGGCAGTGCCGATCCACGTGCCCCCGGTGAGGGCTGGAACAGGATGGGCCGGGCGGCGGGGCACGAGGGTGCATCTGGCACTCGCTGCGTGAGCCGTGCCCGATTGGGAAGTGCACAGGCCTGCTGTACAGGTGTCAAATCTGCACAGGTTGGACCTGCGCGTGGCAGGCAAGTGGGGTTCGGGGCACGCGCGTGGCTTGGCCTTTCCATAGGTTCCCCTGGTGTTTGCTTGTGCCTCGCTAGTCAGCACCCCAGTAAATCAGGCCCCTGTGGAGCCGTAGGTAGAGCTCCCTGCAAGGAGACAGCCCGCTCCTGCACCCAGCTCGGCGTGTGGTGTCGGGCTGGCGTCTGCCCGGGGTCCGTGGCATGAAGGTGGATGGAGGCAAGGTGGGCAGAGACTGAGCTGCGTTGGAGCCGGTGTCGTGCAGGTAGAGCAGGGAGGTGCCACTGCTCTTCTCCCCAGGCTGTTAGGAATGAGCTCCCCGCCATTCGTACGTGCGTGAGAGCTGAGCGCTCTTGTTTCGGGCTACTCGGAGCATCTTGCCCCTCAGATTTACTGACTCCCTTGCTCCACGAGGCTCCACTCTCATCCCTGTCGGGCCACGGAGATTTATTTGGTTGTCAAAAAATAGCTACAAAGCAAAACTGGCAGGTCTGTTTTGTGTATGTGCTGGCTTTGGCCCGAGCCCTGGATCTTTATTGTAGGAGAGAAATCTGGGTGCTGAGGTTTGGGTTCCCTGTGGTTTGCTGACGCCGCGTGTCTGAGCTGGTCTTGAGTCCCGCGATGCTCGGCTGCCTCGTGGGCCGGCTCCTCGTGCGAGCTGACGGTGAGCACCAGTCACCGTGTTTCACAAGTGCCCGAGGTCGGCCGGTGGCAGGTGTTTCGGATGTTGCCCGTGTTTGGCTGATTCCAAGTGCCTTTGGTGGTGCCCAAAAACAAACCGCTTCCCCTGGGGGATGCTTGTGCCAATGTGGTTGTTCTCGCACGTCTCGCCGGGGCACGGGGACCACCAGTTCGACCAACACGGGGGGAAAGTGAACCGAGGGCTAGATTTAAAACAGTTCCCTGTGCCGTGCCGAGCTCCACCTCTCCCCACCCCAGGAGGCCAGGGCTTGTGTCAAAAAACTCGCTGTCTGCCAAGGGGAGGAGTAGGGCATAGGACACGAGGTCCTGAGGTTAAAGGCTCCTACGCACACTCACTTGCACGGAGGGCACCAGTGGCTGCTCCAGTTGCATCCCAGTTAGAGCAGGGTGGGCAGCACGAATGGGTCTCCCAGCCACTCCCCTGGGAAGAGCACAGCACCATGGTTAACCTTGCTGCTACCAGGAGCGATCTGGGACGCTGAGTCCACGATTAGTCCCTAGGTGACCTTGGTTACATCACTTAATCTCTCTGTGCCTCGGTTTCCCACCTGCATGATGGGAGATGACAACACCGTCCCTCCTCAGGGCGCCAGGGACCGGCCAGGTCTGAGATCCTGAGACACAGCTGCAAAGTGCTGCTTCGGCCCGGCCGCACATCCCCCGACCCTCGAGATATCTGCAGGACAGACACGTGCCAGGGCAGACCCGTCGCGGCGATCCCATTCTTGTCGTTAGCATCGTTATCGTGATCAGCCTCGTGATGATTACTATTGGTGGTGGTGCAGCAACACCTAGAGGCCTCCAGCAGAACTGGTGACCCCCGTGCAAGCTGCTGTACAAGCGGCTTCCCCCCTCAGTAAAGGTAGCAACGGGCTAGGTAGGAGAGCAACGCTATAGAGAGGTGACATGCCCAAGGTCATCCCGCAGGTCAGTGGCAGAGGTGGGAAGAGGTCCTTCCTGCGCTCGTGCCCCAGCCACCAGCTGCGGTGCTTGTCACAGGTTTCCCGAGGCCACCTGGGCTCCCCTCTGTGCACATCCCCTGCGGCTAGACATCCCACCAGCCCCGAGACGTGGCAGGGTAGTGCTGCGCCTCTGCCGCCCCCCGGTTGCAGATGGGGGCCAAGAGCAGCCAGTCGCAGGGAGTCGGTGAGGGGGACTTTCAGCACAGGGTGGCAAGGAAACTTCCTGTGCAAGCAACAGGGCTTATATTGCTTAAACTTCTCGAGCTAACTGGAGCAAACAAATGCTGCGGGTCCTCTGCCTTGGCCGTGCGGTTGTGTCCTGGGGCCTGTGTGACGCTCGGGGCGTGGACGTGTCCTCCCCGGTCCAGACTGGCTCACGTCCCAGGTGGCAATTAAAAGAAAGATCCCACCCAACCCTGAACACAACCGTGGTCAGTCAGTTTGTGTTTGTGAATCTGATTTTGCCTGCAAGTGTCCAGCCACCTCTCCACGATCTGTGTGTCTGCTAAAGGATTCTCCCTTTTAGGTGGACGTGTAATCTCTGTTCTGTTGGCTGCATGTATGACAAAGAAATAAAATATATCATTTTAAAGGAGCCCGCATAGCTCGGTCGTCCTTTGCTGCGGGGTGTCGGGAGACTTGCGTGCACGTGTTGGAGGGAAGAGGTGGTTATCCGGCAGGACTCCAGAGCGAGTCGGCTGGCGTGGCCTCAGGCACGCTTTAGTTGGGCAGCTCTCGGAGGCCACCGGCTCGTCGAGCTCCAGCTCCTCCGTGTCTGCCTTGAATCTTGCAGCGGATAACGTCGAAGCAATCCATCTCTTGCCGCGAAGCAGACGGGTGTCCAGAGAACAGACCCCTGGCTGGACACCAGCCCCACCGTGTGCTACGGGAGCCTGTCCTCTGGGCGATTCCTCCTCACAGGAGCCGGCGCTGGCTCTCCAGCGGGGTTGGAGAGGAGTCCCCTGCGAGGTGTTTTGTTGCAGGGGTCACCGGGCTGGCCCCTGCCTGGCGGGCTTTGCAGGGAGCAGGGACAGAGGGGCTCCATCTCCCAGTTTTGTTTCATAGATGCTCGCGAGCCAGGTCCTGCATCCCCCGCTCGGGCGGGGTGTGAACTCTGCAGCCGCTTCCACCTCTGCATCCCTGCACGTCCAAGTGACGCAGCTTCAGAGGCCGCGTCTTGTCGCTGTCCCAGCCGAAGCCCTAGAGAGACCGTCCTTTTGACCTAACCCCAGGCAGTGAGTTGGCTCCTGGGTGTACGTGGCTCCCAAACACTCACTGCATCTTCCAGTAAATTCCCTCTCATGGATTTCAAAGACTCGCATTGTTTTGCAGTGTGCCGCTTTGCACACGCCTTCCCCAGGCACTGGTGTTCTGGTTGCGGGTGGATGCATGATTGTGCTCAGGGCCTTACGCTGCGCACACGCGCCCCAGTGTGCTGCAGGGGAGGTGGTCCCAGGCTTCACTGCAGGAGCTGGGAGGCTTGCTTTCTTTTCCTTTGGCTCTCTTGAAGCTCTGATACGGCCCTTGGAAGATGGCTCTGGTCTGTGCAGCCCAGGGGTTTGGCCGGCTGGGAACTTTAGCTAATTTTTAGGTAACGCACGTTAATTCACACCGTTGCAAATGCAGGTCTGGAAGCTCCACGAATGCTCCTCTCTGCTCTTCACCCCGCGCAAGGTTTTTATGCAGGTAAAGCCATTCATGGGGGCACCAGGGGCCAGCTGAGACCCTCCGTTTGGCAGGAGGATACAGGGCCAGGCTGCAGTCTTGGCCCAGCTTGATGATTGAGACTTGCCTATAGGGCGCTCCCCCGGCCATGCTACGGCCCGGCTAACCTGACACAGGGATGCTTCCCTGCTCACCGGGGAGGGGGACCTACAGGTAGACTAATTAGCCTAGCCACCCAGCAGTGCTAATTAGCTCACCTTCGGTATCACCTGGACATGGCTGAATTGCTTCTAGGTCAAGAGGTGGCACGGAAGAGCTGCCGTCTTGCGTCAGACCAGAGGTCTCTCCTGCCCGGCATGCCGTTGTTGCCGGCAGCTGATGCTTCAGAGGAAGAGCATGAGAAACAGGGCACGTCCTGCACCTCGCAGACCCTCCCCGTGCCCTGCAGCATGTGGGGGGGCTCTGCTTCCTGGCACGGTAAGTGTGTGGCGTGGCATGGACGTGTCCGGGGGACGTGGCTCCCCGCCCTGGGGTGCAGCACTCTTGCATCTGCTGGCCCCTTGCCCTTTTTATGAAGGAGGTTTCCCTTCAGTTCCTTTCATAGCCCTTCAGATAAGATGCACACCCCTGGATACCTCCTGGGAGCTGTTCCCCGGACAAGCAGGCTGGACCGGGGCTCATGGTGCCCGTGCAGGGGAATGGGAACAACCAAAGGAGGCTGCCACGGCTCGCCTGCTTTCCTGTGCAAGTCTGCATCCTGGACCTGCGCCCATGTAACGAGCCCGAGAAGAGCGCCCCGGTTGTAAAGCCGCGAGGCAAATCTCTCAGCTGCCCATCCCTTTGCAGAGGTGCCGCACAGCAAAGCGGGAAGGCAATGAAGCCAACGGGCTCTTTGCTCTTGCAGGGGTGCAGAAATGCCTCCGCACCCCTTTAGCTCCCATGCAGCCTGCGGGGCAGGGTGATGCTCGCCTCCATTCCCAGAGGGCTACATTGGGACCGCGGCTGTCCTGCCAGCGGGGACCGGGTTTCAGCTGCAGCCAGCCAGTAATCAACCTGGATACCTGCAGCAACCTGTGCTGCCCTGGGTTCAGGGGGTTGCAAAGCCGGGTGCATTTCCTTCCTCCCCTGCCACAGTGATAACCAGCTGGGTAGCTAACCAGGGGCTCCCAGAAATTTGCACCCCTGTGCAGGGTTGCAAAGGCCGAGGCTCACTTAAATCCCACCCCGAGTAGCGCATGGGCTTTGCGCAGGGCACTGCACTGGGGAGAGGGTGGCGTCCGTCACCGGCAACTAAGAGACTGCCCTGGCCAAAGCCGAAGTGTCCCCAGACTTCCTCACAGAGCCACAG